ACAAATCAGGACCATTGTAATGAATTCTACAGAGTGATCGTAACCGATGTTTTGATATACACCATTTTAGAACATCACATCCTCAATTACGTGGATTTCGTAATCAGTTTTACAGGATTGTCGCAACCTCTTATATAGATTTGTCGTACTATACTTTACTGAAGAAATACCTAGGGTGAACAATCAGATACTTTTTTGTACGATTTCATATAGTTGTACAAGACTTAATGTCAGATTTTTTGATCTGGCTATGAGTGATAATATATAGAGACAAGACGATTGGTTACGACAGTTGTGATCTTTCGCTACGATAACCCCATATATTTAACCCAAACACACTATACTTTTATGGAACGACAACCCTGAATGGACGGCTATGTTTTCTTTATAAAATTTGTTACGATAATCCTCTACGTAACGAGTTGAAACACTCTCCTCTGGACGACGTGAAAACATGCGATGTTTCACTGTTTTCGAAACATGGCGGAAAATTTATTCTTTGTCGATGTGTTTGGATATCGAACTTTTTAAAATGCAAAAAAAAGGAATTCTGACGCGACAACCTATTGTAGTTTTCTGTAGTTACTTGATTGCAAAAATGAATCCATGTTTGAAGATATCGTCTCAAAAGTTTCATATCTAGAATGCTTCGATTAGAACTTTTTCATGAAAACATCATACACTTCTTGATAGCAGTAATATAATTTTATGAGGGTGTGGTTGTGATTGCAGATCAAAAACACACACTCAAAACTATACCTATACCCCCATTATAGACCTTAGCAACAAGTGTTAAATGTCGTTGAGTATTCTAGCTTATATAGAACATGTGAGTTTCACATCTTTGCCTCAAAAAATGCACTAGCAAGCTTTATTTGTTACGTTTCTTAAAAACCACATTTAACATGGGGAAAAATTTTTCCTTCAGTTTTTGATGAAAACTGATAAGTTGAAAATAATCTATAAGGTGAATCTTGCGTAGTTATTGTTATATTCAAACTGACTGGACGTGTGAAATCAGAGGCATCTGTATCGACAGTCATTTTTGCAATGCTCTTGTATTCTTCCGTTGAAAGATCTGAACACAAATTATTCCATCTCAAAATATTAGTACTTGACCAGCCTGTACAATTGATTTGTTGTGGATAAGTACTGATACATTCTTGCATATCAGGATCTACTGATGCTTGAAAACCAGTACCATTTGTATATGATACTGTATAAACTACTTCATTAGTTTCACCTGTATAGCCCTGCCAAAGCCGATAGCCAATTATTGTTTTTTCATCTTGAGCAGTAATAGTCTGTATAGCAAAAATGCCAGATAAGGGAACCGTATTGACAACACCTTTAAAAGTCATATTATAAGTAATACCGGTTGGTGGTAACATATGTTGAGGAAACATTAAGTATGGTTCGGCATTGATTTCAATTACAATGAAAGTAGCAAGCAAATAAGCAAATGTGGTTATTTTCATCATTTCTTTTCCAATGGTATACTTTTAAGAAACTATTGCAAATTTCATCGTTTTAAATAGTATCATTTTAATTTTACTCATTTAATTGATCACCTGCGTCATTCATTATCTTTCTGACGCAGCGAAAAACAAAATGCAAAGTACTTATAAGATCAAATGACATATTCAAGGTAAAAACACCATCTGTGTTAGAGAAAAGTAATTAGATCAGTTATGTATATTTGTCAAACAGAGTATATAAACTATTGAATCATACAAGAAACAAACGAACCATTGTTTTACTGAATGTTAACGTCTAGATTTAATAATTTCAACAGTCTAACCAGTTTAGACAGGATATTAAATAAAAATTTATTTTCAATTAATAAAACAACTAGTAAACAAGATAATATTGTTCGTAAAAAGACAAATATTATAATAAATAGAGGTAACCATTAACTACTTAAAGTATATCAAAACTAGCGGCAGTAGCACTTTCATACCACAGAGAAGGCTTGTGGAAACTTAATTATAATCAAGAATAGTTTTCTGTTCCTTTGTTTTTCTTAATAAAGATAAAAGCAACATCTGACTGCAAAGAAACTTCTCGTTTAACATTCAATTTTCATTTATTTGAAGATTCCAACAGAGTTTGCGCTTTCATCATGTTTTTTTTCCAGACAATATTTTAATATTTGAATCGAATAGCAAAACCACATGTTTCACAACTAAACGTTTTTTACAGTGATCTTATGTAAATATCAACGTTTATAGTCGATACATCATTTACACAATTGATCACAAAGTATACAAAAAGAAAAATGAAGATAAGTTATAACTTCAATGTTATATCCTTAATACAAATAAAATTATCTAGAAACGATGAGAGATTTGTATTTAATAATAACCCAATCTTTTGGACACCCAATTTCATATTTCGTTCTTCATAAAAGAAAATGATATGAGACAATATCAATTTTATTTCAATTTAAAAAGCTTATATATTTTAACAATATAGAGAGGTTCGAAAGTGATGGTTTATCTTATGAATTGACAAAATAAATTAAGAGACGACTGCCAAACCAAAAAATGATATTCTAACTCTACCATCACTCAATCATGACCTCCTCATTTTTTTATTTCTGATGGGTAAGGCAGATCCAATGGTCACGTTCTATATATCAATTTTCAATCTCGTCATACGTTGTATTAAGAAAATAAATTATACCAAAAGATGCAGCGTGAAAAGCTCTACAATTTACATTGATCAGCGTATTTTATAGTTGCACTTTTTGTGTTTTTAAAATGGGCAAAACTTTGAGCGAGCAAATTTCGACCGTGCGAAAATTGATCGAAACGTTGCATATTTTGGTATAAGGTGTTTCCTTAATACATTGTATTAAGAGATTGAAAGCCGATATACGAAACATGGCCATTATACCTGCCTCACCCGTTAATATCAAAATAGAAAAAAATAAAATAATTTGACACTTTGCAATACTCTACAACTCAAATAATTAAATACTTTTTATTATAACTATAATCTAGAAACAAAGCAATTGCAAATGTTAACTAATAATACAATAATCAAAATCAATATGAATAATCCTTACAACCTAATTTTTCCTTTTGGCAGCGTTGAACTGAATCAATATTACTATTTATCAGATTAATGAATATGTCAAAAGAATGAAAAAAAAAATTAAATAAAATGAAAAATACTTTCGTGCAAAATATTTCTCATTGTATATGCTTAAAAGACATACACTCTCTCACTTTTCAGGCTTTTGTCAAGAATGTTCGAATGTAAAATTCTGAAGTTTTCAGGATAGATGGATTTCGAGTAGTAGTAGTAGTATAAAGTTATCGCAAAGGTTAAAAATAATCCATTGATTAATAGTGGAAGATTTTTTATTCTTTTTTTTCAATATCTTTCGTTTTCTCTTCATTTTCAATTTCTTGATATAATTCCTTTGCCAAGATAAGATTTTCATAAGCTATTTCATATTTGTATAATTTTTGATAAAAATTAGCCACTATCATTTATCTATCAGTCATTCTTTTTTTCTACTTAACAACAAATTGATCATCCGTTAATTTCGGTGTAAAATATTTCAATGTATATTCATGTTTCTGTAAAATGAGTTCAGCTGTATAAAGCTGATTTTCATTGTCTCCAGCATATATATCGATTACATTGTTCATGATCTTAAGGATAGAATTCGAATTTATGCCAACTTGTTGCAGAGCTGTTTCATGAAAGTCCTTTGATGTTCTATTATACTTTAGCAACCCTTTCGGCAATTCAATTAGTTTTTGAATGGAATAAATAATTGTTAAATCATCAGATACGTATATCGTCGATTGACAGACGGAAGAGAAAATTAACATTGATGAATGTGTTCACACAATTTTTCAAAGTTCATCTGTTAGTCATACTCTGAAAATCTTTTTCATTCTTTATAAAATCATCATCCTCCAAGCATAATTTAATTATCCAAAGTTTCTCATTTTCATCACAGACTGTGAAATGTCTGCAAAAGGACTCGATCAATATCGTTTATCCTCATCCTTGACAATCCGTTTAGTGAAATAAAAGGAAGGCCGATAAAATTCAATTTCGATTTCAAACAGCACATTTTGTAATTCATCATCAAGTTGTACCATTTGATTGAGAAAAATTGTGGCTATAGAAGGATCGAAAGTTGTTGAAAAGAAACTATTTTTAATGATATAAGTATGACATCGTTGAAGTTCTGCAGTTTCTTTGTCCGACATCAGTTGTCCGCGATAGACATTAATTGAGGAATCTTCGGAATAGTTTAACTTGAATTTTTCATGTTCACTTTTCAGTTATTGGTACAAATCTTGAACAAAAAATCCGAATAAAAATAGGACTGGAAAATTATGTGTGCAGAACGCTTTATTTAAGAGACAATAGATGAATGAATCTTTCATGTACTAATTAACAGCTGTTTTCGGTTTGTACGTTTTTTCAAATTTTTCTAGAAGACGACTTTGTGTAATATTGAGGATGTGGGCGTGGCTGCACCCACCCATACCCTCAAGTTCGGACTCAATTCATGTCTCGTATTAGAATGTTTTTCGAAAAAAAACAAATAGCATCTTTTCGAAAAAGATCATCATATGAAATTATTTTATTAAAAATGCTACCTTGAAAATAGCTTGTTTTTTATATGTGAAAGAGTTCTTATATCGAAACAAAAATGAAGAGAGATAAGAAAATATTTGTCAACAATACAAAAAGAATTCTTTTAAAAACATCTACACAGATATGACAACGATAATAAGAAACGAAAGAAAAAAGATCAAACACAATTATATAGGTAAGAAAATCTTTTTTAATCAATTTACTATTAATTCTTTTCTTTTTTTTGTAAATATTTCAAACCTCTTTCTAGTTTTTTTTTTGTTGTATTAATTTGAGAATAAAATATTATTCATCAAACACAATAATAATAAATCAAATTTATCCTTAAACATTTAGCTTCTTTCTTAAACATATTCCTTCAGATATTTAATCAGTAATTACGCACAAATAAGACTACAATCAGAGTCAATATTCAAAACTCTTCATGTTGATGATCGATTGTCACTTTTACAGTGAACGCATGTTAAACGTTTTTTTTTTTCATCAGAAGGATAAACTCCAAAATGTATAAATATAATAACTTCAGAAGGTAGTCATTCACCTATTTGAGATTACCATTATTTAAAAGACGATATCGGACGACAACAATGCTCAATCTATTAAGTGGAAATTTTTTCTTCGAGGGTTTAGAGTGATGTATGATAAACTGATTTTTGTCAGAATTTTTTCTGTATACCTTCTCAGTTCTATTGTTATTAAAGATAGTCTTCACAGTGTCGATTGCTACTATAACCTCCCTTCAATGAACAGACGTAACTTCCCCTTTCTCTTTCGGCATCATTTTTGGCTAATGTACTAAAACTGGCTATTCATTGTTTATTAAGGTGAATGATGGCAATGATTCGTCACAACGCAAATAAGTTGAAAAAGCGAATATTCCACTTGATTGTTTATCTATATGATTATCAAACAAACGAGAACCAAAATGAATTCATGTTTATAGTGATTCAAAAAGCAAAGATGAACAACTATGAAGGACTTTTTTAAATCGAGCTAAGGTTTTTCTTTTGTTGGAAACTTGTTCGATTGAACATAACTTAAATGAAACAAGATCAATAAAGGAGAAAATAGGCGCTAATTACTAGAGAACTAACAAAAAAGAATCATCTTATGAAAGTTGACTTCATTTTGTAGGAAGATAGGTGACATCTAAGCATAAATGAATACTTTTTACAAGTCCTGACAATATTCACTTAAGAGAGATTTTACTGTAATCTTAAGGAAGATTCGTGATTCTTAATACAGATCAATATTATATAGGTTATCTCGAAATAAATTAAAATAATTGAATACATGATCATTATTTTATTAAAAATCAATCGAAAACATATTTAACGAAAACTAAATCAGTTAAATGATCGTTAAACTTAACACGTATTTGTATTTTAAACTATTTCAGTTTATCTTGTTCGATTTGAATTCAGATCGCATTTTGAAGAGAGCTTTTCGAAAAGAATTGACACGTTAAATTACGTCTAGAACGCTTTCTCAATATTGTTGAATATTATTTGATCACTAGAGAATTTTAAATAAGTAAATCAATAAAAATGAAAATTTTACAGAAAGAAAAAATCGAATCGATTAATAAAAAGTATATTAAATAATAAAATCAAATATTTAAATGAGTTCAAGGATTTGGTACTGATTTTTCATCAGTTTGATCTGGTGGTCGTTGATAATCAGAATTTGAAAGTAAATAAATAACAATTAAACTAAATAAACTTGTAAATATACCAAAAAAAATTATAATCAAACGTCTCGATTGTTGGATATCATT